TTTTTTTTGTGATGGTAGTAAGTTAAAAAATATATGTAAGTGAGTATTAAACCATACCCTTTCTCATTCTCCTATTTGCTATGTTCAAATTTACAAAACCTTTATGGACTACAACAAAATTTCATTTTTATTTGATAGAACGTCTTTGTTTTTATTTTTCATATGAATAGATACTTATTATTATTATAAAACTCCCTTCAGTATTGCTAAAAGAAATAACAAAAATTTATTTATCTTCTGTGATAGTAAAGATCTAAAACAAAAAAAATGAATAATTGATTTGTGTTTGTCAGAAAGAAAAGAAAAATTAATCTAATCAAAAAGAAGTTTTGAAAATCAAAAAAAAGGAAAATGATGAAACTGTCATCTATAAATTCTCTAATTCAGTAATGTCAATAGATGGTAATTGGTTAGAAGAATTAGAGTTGTACAATAGCCTTGATGATAGCATTGATATTGACATTGAAATGATTGCACGTTCAATGGAGAAATCAAAAAATGTGACCGTGTTAACTGGTGCTGGGATTTCAGTAGAATCTGGTATCCCTGATTTTCGGTTTGTCTTTTCTATTGGGATTTTTAATTAGTTAATATAAACTAATAAAACAAGATCATCTAATGGTTTGTGGAAAAGATATGACCCTTCTGTTTATGGAAGTTATTCTAACTTTAAAAAACATCCAGAGCTATTCTGGAAAATGACAGAAGAAATTCATAAAATTACTGCATACCCAAATCATGTTCATGAAGCACTTGCTGAACTTGAAAAAATTGGAGTTGTTAAAACAATAGTTACTCAAAATGTTGATGGTTTACATCAACAAGCAGGATCAAAAAATGTTGTTGAAATGCATGGGAGTGGGAGGGCGTGTTATTGTATTGATTGTGATTATATTTCTAGGGCTGATAATGACATTTGGTCAAAACCAGTACCTCCAAGTCAATGCATTCCACGATGTCCAAAATGTGGTGGACTATTAAAACTTGATGTTGTTCTTTTTGGAGAAAAATTAGATCGTGTGACATATGATGAAGTCGTTGAAGCGTCAACAAAAACTGATTTTTTGTTAGTTATTGGGACATCATTACAAGTTGCTCCTTGTAATATAATTCCATTTAGAGCAAAACATTGTGGGGCACAAGTTGCATTTATTAATTGTTCAAAAACACCAATGGACGAATACGCTGATTTTGTTGTTAGAGGAGATTTAAAAGAAATTGTTCCAAGGATTGCAAATAAAATCAAAGAAATAGTTTGTATTTGTTTAAGTAACATATTTTTATTCAAAAAAATTTATTAGTTAGAGAGAAAAAAGGTTTAACGGATTAAGACGTGCTTGGCTGTTATCATATTCATTTGCTATTGTTATCGTTACAATGTTAGTAACATTTTATAATAATGTCTTCCATCAAAATTTAAAAATATCAACTTTAGATAATATTGATGGTACAGAAACACCTGTTGTTAGTGAATACGAACCAACTCTTAGAAGACATTCAGTCCCTTTAGATGAATGTGGGTTTGAATAAAAGCAAGTATTATTATCATCTATTTGTCTTTCTTAAATAAAAGAAATGTTACTCTGTTTTCTTCTTCTCTTTGATTTCATTTCACAATCAAGTTAAACTATTTGTGTTTGAAATTGGTTTAAAAAAAGTTTTTTTAATTAATTTTCAAGCAATTGTAATGCCTCTAAAATTTTTTGTTTTGTTTTCTCTATTGCACCAATTTGCAATGAATCTTTAGCTTTATTAACTATACTCCATGCAGCTACTATGTCTTCAATTTTAATATTTTTTTTGATATTAACTTTACGTAAGAGAATTGGGTTTTGACTTTGAATTGTATTAACAAGAGGAGATTGTTTATACTCTATCTTTTCATTTTTTTTTGGCTGTGTATGAACTTGGTTTTGTAATTGATTTAGTGGTGGTACTGATTTTGATAATGTTGGTTGTTGATTAGTACTAACAGTAAATGTCTTTTGTTTTATTTCTTCTGTTGAAGAAATTTCTTGAGAAAAAACAGGGGTAATACTTTCTTTAGTAGAATTACTTGGAGTTGGGAACAAGTTAATATTTTGTTGAGGTAATTGTTGTTTTGGTTGAGAAGGAACTGGGAACAAATTTTGTTTTGGTTGTTCTTTTTTTTGGTTGACTGATTGTTGTTCGATTGGGACAGGAAACAAGTTTTGTTTTAGTTGTTGTGTTTGTTGAGAAGGAGTAGGGAATAAATTCTGTTGAGAAGGAGTAGGGAATAAATTCTGTTGAGTAACCTGAGAGTTTGGAACTGGAAATGGGTTAGTGTTATAGTGATGAGGGGAACAATTATTTTGAATAGGTTGTTGAGGAATTGAGATATCTTTCACAAGGGTAACACCTTCAGGGATAAAATGAGATAGTACAATAAAATTTTTAACTTGTTGGAATTCATTTGGAAGAGGAATGAAAGCATTTAACAAATCAATCATATCAACAACAAAAAGAAATATTTGTTTTGCTGATTCTGGGTTTTGTTTGAAAACGTTTTGACCTGATAAATAATATTTTTTGATTACTTCTTTAATATAACTAGTTTGAAATTCACGATCATCAATGGTGTTTCCCAATGCTTGTCTTAACAATGTCTTTTTTGATAAGACTATATCATTTTGCATTTTTGATTGACTCCCAAACTCATAACAATGATAAGCAAGCATTGGTTCATAAAGGTAAAACTGATCTCCATAAGCAATATATCTTTCGCACATTTTTATTTTTTATTGTTATATCATTTTTAGTTCTGAATGAAGAATAAGTGATATTTGACAAAAAAGAATGAATATGAAACAATCTTAAAATGATAAGACAATCATTAAATATTTTACAAAAGGAAAAAAGAAAAGAAAGAACTTAATAAAGTTACAAAGCTACAAAATGAGTGATTTGACTGATTTAATGAAAAAATTTCGTGAAAGAAAGGGAATTGATGATGCAACATTAGCAAAAAATCAAGAAATAAAAGAGATTACAAATAGAGCAAAGGGTGTTGATGCAGAAACTGATTTAGAACGAAGGAAAAGAGAAAGACGAGAAAGAAGAGAGAGAGAAGAAAGAGAAGCAGCAGAAAAAGAAAAAGCAGGTTCAAGTACTTCTAGAGCTGAACGAGTAAGTACTAGTGCTGAAACAGCTGAAGAAGCTCGTGAGAAAAGAAGACTTGAGAGACAAAGACAAAGAGAAGAAGAAAAACGAAGATTGGCAGAAGAAGAACGTAAAGCCCAAGAAGAGAGGGAGGCAAGAAGAAAAAAAAGAGAAGAAGAACTTCGTATTGCAGAAGAACAAAGAGAAGCTCAAAGAAAAAAAGAAAGAGAAGAACGTAGAAAAAGGTTAGAAGAAGAAAGAAAAGCATTAGAAGGATCTTCTGTAACTGAAAGAACTGAACGAGCCGCACAAAAATTAAAACAAGCAACATTAATTGGAACTAAAGAAGTTACTAAAGACTCAACTGAAACAAAACAAGGAAATCAAAACACATTAAATAATGAACAACAAACAGACGAAATTCGTTCTGGAAAACAAAGTATTCAACTAATTGAATTAAAGGCAAATAATGAGGCATTAAGAAAACAGGTAGAAGCATTAACAAAAGAAAAAGAAGATTTCCAGAAAGGTGCAGGAAATAGACAAATTGAACTTGAAAATAAAATTAAAGAAAATATTAAAGAAATAGAATTATTAAAAGGAGATTTAGAATTGTATCGTGGAAAACAAAAGGAAAAACCATTATTCCATACTAAACCATCAAGAAATCTAGAATGGCCTGATGAATTAAAAATGCCAGTTCTTAAAGTTGGTGTTAAAGCAATTGGTATTACTGGATCAGATGATGCCTATATTGGTGAGATTACTGGTGATAATGGAAATAAATGGCAATTTACTGAAACATTATCAGTTTTAAAACATAAGGTATTTCCATCACCAGAAGTTATGCAAGAAACTATTGATAACTTAGTTATGGTTAATAACAATCTTAAAATTAGACAACAAGAAATGGAAAAAGAACATCAACGATATGTTAAAGGAGTTGAAAATGAAATGAAACAATTACGTGCTGACTATGAAAAGTTAAGAGATGTTTATGGTGCTGATGTTGTTAAAATGCATGCCAATATCAATAATAGAGTATCCATGGTATATGGACTAGAATGTAATATGGCAGTTCAAGTTGCTGAAGCTATTAAAGATGTTAAAGATTATTCAAAAGGTAAATTAAGATGGTATTCAACAACTTCAAAGAATGATGACAAATTATGGGCTGATTTAAAGAGAGAAAATAATGAGATGATTAATTATCCAAAAGGAAGGCATGACTTTAAAGCTCGTTTATTCCAATTTTATACATCAGAAGATAATGAATTATTATGCAATGAGTTAAGGTCATATAAACAAGAAGATCTGACTCATGGAAAGGCATTTATTCTTGATACCTTTAATGAGGTGTTTGTTTATTATGGAACTGGTTGTCCAAAAGAAGATAGAGCCAAAGTTACTTCAGCAGCATTAGCTTATAATAAATATAGTGATGATGGAAGATCAGTCAACACACCCGTTATTCAAGTTGAAAATGGACAAGAACCTGTTCGTTTCAGGTTACAATTCAAAGGTTGGGATCAACGTAAAATTGTTGATCGAGAAACTCAACAAAATATATTTACTGATAATGGAAAGTACTTCGGTTATGCTCAACTCCTTAATAGTGATAAACTTCCTGATTGGGTGGACCGTTCTTGTTTAGAAGAGTACTTGAAAGACGATGAATTTAAAGGAGTTTTCAGAATGGAAAGAAGCGAATTTAATATGTTACCAAGATGGAAAAAAGATGCTGAACGAAGAAAAGCAAAATTATTCTAATTAATTTCTTGAATTTTAATATTTTTTTTTATTTAATTTTAAGGTAATTATAATAAAACTATTGGTTAATAAAAATTGTTGTCTTTTATATTTACGTTATATAAAACGAAAATAATAATAAAATGTTGTTATTTCAATAAAACCCTTAAAACTTAAATTGTTTTAATTAGAAGATTAATGAAATTAGACAAACACTCATTGTATGATGTTGTAGAATATTTACCTCAAAGGTATTATAATAGATTTATCTGTGTTAATAAAAAATGTTTTAATATTGTTGAACATCATCCAAATGAAGTACTTCTTCATTACAAATCAATAACAAGTTCTTCTACAATTATTCAAGTTGAAGAACAGAATTATTTAGAATTACCTATAAGTCAATTTGATAATTATATTAACCAATTTGAACTATGTTTAAAACTAAAAATTCTAAAAGATCAAAATGAGACATTATCTTTTGAAGAACTTATTACACCTAATGTTTTCAGACATTTATTAGAAATTATTATTTCACTTAATGTTGTTACACCTAAACTTTGTATTAATCTTGATGATATTGGATTTGGAGAATTAAAGATTGTTATAACTCAATCAGAAGAATTTGCTATTGACCAATTAGAAAGTGTCAATATAATTAAAAATAATTTGGTTATTCTTAAGTTATTTGATTGGAAACTGTGTCATTTCATTCAAAAAGAACGAACGAATATTCATGTTGTCATTGAACCAAATAATTTAATCGAGTTATATACAAATAAGATTAATAAAGAATATACTTCTTTTAATTTGATTAGTTGTTATCAAGAATATCATGAACAAATAGATAATAAACAAATAGTATTAAATCAATCACTATTTAATGATTACGAATATAATTCAAATGATAACATTAACTTATTACTTTCATTATATTTACCATCTTTACAATCCTTTAATCTTCCTTCATTTTCTATAGTTAGTTTAAGAACCCACAACCCTTTTATTGAATGTTCTAATTTAATAGAATTAACAATTGATATTAAACATTCACATTTAACTCAACTACATTTTAATTTTTCTCAGTTTACTTCTTTATCTAAATTGTGTTTATTTGCTCACCTAGAAAATAGGTCTATAAAAATTCCAGCTCAAATACGTTATTTGGTTTTAAATCAGTTTGTACGTCATTTGTCTAATATTATTATTCTTCATAATGGCCAGTATATTGGAAAAGGACTTTCTTATCTTAACCAATTAAATTGTCTTGAGGTTGTTGGAATATCTGATGATAAAGTTGATTTCCCTCAGTCCCTTCATTCATTAAAAATTCAGTCTGTAGATATCGATGTCATAAGTACAAAGAATCTTACTCAATTAACAAAGCTATATATTCATGGACCAAAAATTTCTGAATTGGATTTACCAATTCCGTTATGTGAACTAACACTAATTCAGTGTCGTAAATTACAAACATTGAATGTTTACGGTAAAATGAGACTTATAGACAAGATAGAAGCTTGTCCAAAGGTTTCATTTAAAAAGAAAATTGATTAATCAAATCATCTTATTTCTTTTACAAGATGTAATAAGCTTAATCATTCTTATTTATTTCAACAACACAAAAGAAAATGGGGGGTAGTATTGTTTCTGAATTAAATATGAAAAAATTGAATAATCCAAAAATTAATCGTTCACAAAGTGATTTTAATTGTTTTTTTTTTCAATTTGGTTTACTTTTATATCATCTTAT